GCCCCCGCCCTCTCCCCGCTGGCCTCAGGGAACCGCCTTGGCTCAGATGGACGTTTCCAAATAGACAGAAGCAACAGATGTAACTGTCCTACTTCATATTTAGAGTAGAAATTTATTTTAGCACAAACATGTTTAAAGACTAGGGGCGCCGAGGGCACAGTGTGGGTCTGTCGATCTCATCAAGCCTTACATACTGAAGTTCTTTCATTTCTGCAGCAGCAGTCACAATGTGGACCAAATCCGTATACCTGTCATTAACAGAGCTATTTCTGGGGCACGAAGAGGCAAACGGGCTTACGTGGGTCGCTGACCACTGAACAATTAAACAACAGTGCCTATGTCTCTAGCTAATGTCTGAATAACCCCCGTTGATACTTTAAGACTCAGTCAAAATTGTCACTTGTTGCTCTTCCAGAGGCGTTACGTTCGGATCCCAACACCCAGGTCAGACGGAGACACCTATAGTTATATCAACCCTGTTATTGGACAGGGGGTGTGGAGGTGGGGGGCACACGTATACACATCTTTAAAAACAAAACAATTTCAAATGGCACTTCCTCAGGGAAACTGCTGGAGGTAAGGGTTTAAGGGAAAAGGGCCAGCTAAAGAAACACACCCTGAGCCGGGAGGTGGAAGGAAGGAAGGAAGGAAGGAAAGAAGGAAGGAAGGAAGGCAGAAAGGAAGGAAGGAAGGAAGGAAGGAAGGAAGGAAGGAAGGAAGGAAGGAAGAAACACACCCTGAGCAGAGCCAAAAACCACACTTTGGTCCTGCACCAGAACCAAAGAAATACACCCTGACCCTGAAACTAGTGCCAAAGAAACACACTTGGTCCCTGGAATCAGAGCCAGTGAAAGAAATACACCCTGGCCCTAAAATTAGAGCCAAAAGGCTAAAATGGACCAGTGAAAGAAACACACTTTGGCCCTGAAACCCTGAAACCAGAGCCAAATCTGACCCTAAGCCTATGCAGAAAACTAACTAATCCCTGAGCAGGAGATTTAGCCATTCTAAGCTCAGGGACTGAAATCCAACCAATCCTCACCCTGGAAATCTCCTTGGGTAAACTCCACCCCTTAAGAATCCCTATATAAACCCTGTGACTATTCAGCTTGTGGCTGTTCCTGCTGCCTGGCGTGCCCTCTGCCAAGACAAGACGCAGAATTTGGAGTTTGCACAGCTGGTTTTCAGTATTGCTTTGGTCCAGTATTTCCTCGATATGCCCCCACTTCCCTATATTTTGGTAATGTATATCCTATGCCCTTGTATATTGGAAGTATGTGATCTGCTTTTTATTTTTATTTTATAGGGAATTACAATTAAAAGAGTGTACAAATCTCAGAAGAGACTTTGAACCTTGTACTTTTAAACATTGTTGAGACTGTGATAGACTGTGGGGACTTTTGAAGTTGGACTAAATGCATTTTGCATTATGGTATTGTTACAAGCTTATGGGGGGCATAAGCGTATTAGTGGAATGTGGTAGTTTGAATATAATTGGTTCCCATAATCTCATAAGCAGTGGCACTGTTGGGAGGTATGGCTTTGTTAGAGTGGGTATGGCCTTGTTGGAGGGAGTGTGCCACTACGGGGCAGGATTTGAGGTTTCCTATGCTCAGGACACCACCTAATGAGTGAATTGACTTCCTGTTGCATTCAAGCCAAGGGAGGAGCCAGCATGATCCCTGCCATGATGATTGTTAGTATTCAGGCATCTGTATTGGCCTGCTCTTGAGGTTCTGACAGGATACGCCCTCAGCTGCAGCCACTAAGAGCACCACCTGTGCATATTTACTACGTTCCCTTTTAAAAGGGTCCTGTCCACTTCCCATCTCTCTCTCTCTGTCTCCCACCTTATCTCTCTTTTCTCTTCAGCTGTTCCTTCCCCAGAGGCTGGTCTCCCCCCTCCCTTCCCTCCTTTACCATTCCCTTCCCCCTAATTTAAAAAACAAAAAACCCCAAAACCCTCCATATGAGCTCTGTCACATGGTGTCTTTCTCTCGGGCCCCACTTTTTATATCACAACACTGATAATGGACTGAACCTCTGAAACTGTAAGCAAGCCCCCCCCCTTAACTGTTTTCCTTATGAGAGTTGCCATGGTTGTCTTCTTACAGCAATGAAAACCCTAACTAAGACAGAGGGTGTGCTATCTTATGCAAACATCTAAACATCCTAAAGATGGTGGTAGTTGGACTTGGAAGATAGTTCCATGAAAAAGAAGCCCTTCTGAAATATTAGGGGTCTCTCTATCATGTCACATAAGCATTTGGGATCCTGTACCAAAGTGAGCGTCAGAGAAACAGCTGATGTCTTGGACTCTTCTGTAACCACAGTGGTTGCCACTTGGAAGGCAAAGGCAGGAGGGCTGCCACAGTTTGAGGCCAGCCTAGGCTATACAGGGTTTATCATTCTTAAGAAAAATCAAACAAGCCGGGCATTGGTGGCGCACGCCTTTAATCCCAGCACTCGGGAGGCAGAGGCAGGTGGATCTCTGTGAGTTCGAGGCCAGCCTAGTCTCCAGAGCGAGTGCCAGGATAGGCTCCAAAGCCACACACACAAACCCTGTCTCGAAAAACCAAAAAAAAAAAAAGAAAAAAAAAAAAAATCAAACAACAGCCAGGCATGGAAACACTCACTTGTAATCCCAGACTTCAGGAGTCTAAGGCAAAAGAACCAAGAGTTCAAGGCCAGTCTCTCCTAAAAGAGACCCTGTTTCAAAAAGGGGCCCAGAGAAAAAGAGAGACAAGAACTGAAGGGACCAGCTCCCCATTTCGGCAGCCATGACGTGCTTGCCATGACCTTGTCCTAGCACTAAAAAGTCAGATGCCTGCCTCATGGCAAGGAACCAATCAGAAGTTAGCTGGTGGCGCTACGCTTTATGGTTCTGGGTGTTCTTTACGGGCAAGTGCACAGCAATGACTCGCAGAGCATAGCAACCACTCTGGGAGGGCCTATGGGCCATAACAACCAGTTGGCCAATCAACACAGGGCAAGCCCTCCAAGCCTGGAGGCACACCAATCCTGAGCCTGTGGGTACCCCTAGACACTCCCCTTATGCTGCCCTACAAGATCTCTATGCATCCGGTTTGAACTGTCTTTGCTAGCCATCTGCCATAGCAGGTGAGTCAAAGACCCGAGCTAACATGGGTTAGCTCATTAAACAACTTCAATAAAGCCTCATGCTGTTTGCATCAAGCTTTCGACTCTGCCTGGTGATTGGGGTGACCATGGTCCTAGGCTGAGACCCCAGAGGCCTGCGCTTTCCAGGGGTCTAACAGAACAAGTGCTGGGCATTGGCGGCACACACTTTT